CGTGAGGAGACCCAACAGACTCTGCCATTGTCGTAGTGGTAGCAGAGAGAGTAAGGCTTGTGGGATGGTCTGTTGGATCTTGAGCCATCGGTCCTCTGGTACGACGATACGGTTCAGTGTCGTGATAAAATTGAAGATCTTGCGTAGGTTCTAGGTCCGACTTGAGTAGATTTACTAACCATCCTAGCTGTGTTAGTAGCTTGATGATGAAGTTTAACTGTAGTTTGAGACGCTGTGGATCTTGATCTACTTGTATCCCGTCGTCGAGGTAGAACGCACTGCGTAGCCCTAGACGATGTAGGTAGGTGACGATAGGTTTCGTTACTCTTGTGAATAACCAGGGGGCCGATGATATTCCAAATGGGAGTACTCTCCATTGATAATGCAGCCCGTCTAGTGTAAACCGTAGGTATTTCCTGGATTCGGGATGTATCGGGATGTGTAGATAAGCATCCTGCACATCTATACTGGCCATGTAGTCCATAGGACGAATTAGGTGCCGTAGTTGAGGTAGATGTATCATGCGAAACGTTGGCGGTTTGCGTAGATAATCTCTGTTGAATGTGCTCATGTTGTAAATGAGTCTGAACTTCTGCTTGGAGTTTTTCTTGGGCACTAGGAAAACTGGGGAGTAGAAGCCTGGTTCGATGTTTAATTGATCCAGTACTTCTATGGCCTGCTTGGTTAGGAGAGATGTAACAGCCTCTCTTAACTTTGGTAGTTGTTGCGCCTGGAAGTCGAACTTGTGAGGGTTGACTGTAAGTGGAGGCGTGGCCTGTAGTTGGATTCGATATCCGTGTTGAAGTATGTTGGAGACATATGGGTCTTGTAGAATTCCCCAGTTCTCCCAGTGCAGTTGAAGGCGTCCACCCACTTGTGATGGTTGTACTGGAACGGCTGGGGGTGGAAGACTCCAGTCGTTCCGAACCTGTCTTTCATCGTTTATAGTTGCGGGAACCTCTGGGTGCCCTGCCTCTTCCAGATCCTCCTCTGTAGTTGCCATATGGGCGACGAAAAGAATCTTTTCCTCTGGAGCTGGCCATCTTCCTATCCCATGCTTTCTGTAAGCCAGTAAATTTAGATCTTCCTGAGTATCTCTGTGAAGTCTGCCTGATGACGCTGGCTAGCGTGTCCATCGACTTTATCATAAGGACTTCTCTAGAATCCTTGGTGACTTCCTTAGAGACTTTATCTATTCCTCCGTCGAAGATAGATGGCGTAGACCATGTGGCTGTGTAGAGTGGAGCTGTAAACTGCTCACCCCAACTACAGGAAGCGAGAAGACCTTGACGACGAGCCAGAGTTAGGGCTGCAGAGACTGATGTGAGATGATCCGTTAGAAACTGCTGGTCCTTCTTCTGCATAAGTAGGGCCGAGTAGATCATTCTGTCATCCTCAGATGTCGAATCTCGAAATCTGGTGATAAGAGTCTCATTGATCGTTCTAGATCTGTTAAGGCCGAAGAACATTCGCCTTGTCATGGTTTCGATCTGAACCAGCTTGCGGTCGTCAATCTTATAGTTCTTATTCTTGACATCGTTGATTACTTTGTAGTTATCATCGATCTCTTGTGCCTTGAAAAAAGGGTCCATATTATGGGTTAAGAACTTTTTAGCGTTGAACTGTGGTAAGTGCGGCGCTTGGACTTTAGTGGCTTTATGGAAGGCTGTGTCAAGATTCTGTGGGACCGTAGCTATCGGGTTGATCGGAGGTAGGGTGATGGTGTCTGCATCATCCTCCCTCATAAGGTAAGTGTGGGCCGGATTACCATTCTTGGAAGGTGAAGATAGGTCCAGGTTGTTAACCATCCAATAGCGTATTTCAGCGTCGGAGAAAATGATGCCTCCATCATCTTCTATAACGGTATCGCTGATAAGAGGTTGATGCTCTTCCGATGGTGACCTGTATGCTTCTACCGCTGTGCAGAGTGATGTCAATGGAGACCTGACTGGGGACTTCCGTGAAGACTTGTGTGGCGAACGGTGTGGTGACCTGCGAGGAGATCGGCGAGGTGAACGACGAGGTGATTGGCGTGGAGAACGGCGAGGAGTTCGTCTTGGTGAACAGCCTGATGAGCTGCGTCTATAAGGTGACCTTCGCAGAGATCTATGTGGTGAATGTTGATAGCTTCGCGAAGCTCTTGGGGAATCCCTCGATGACCTTCTTGACGAAGATGACTTGGAGCCTGTAACTGGTGCCCTTCGCGAAGCTTCATCTGAGTCCAGTCCTGGGGAGCGACGACTTGACCTTCGCGAAGGCTTTCGCGAAGGCTGAGGGTCCGAGTCAGAGTCCGGGGATGAGATGATCTTCCTTCTCGAGCCTCTTCGTGAGTGTTGATCATCGGAGTCCGAGGTAGGTGACGATCTAGACGTCCTTCGCGAAGGCCTTCGCGAAGGCTGTACATCTGGGTCCTTCACAGAGGAGGTCTGTGACTTCCTTCGCGGAGGTGGCTTTGTAGTGGCCGCTACGTTGACGGGGGGTCCCTCTGGGGTGACGTCTACGTTGGAGCCTTCGCGAAGGCTCAGGCTCTGGGCTGGTTGTCTCTCCAGTCTGTATCGGTCCTCCATCATCTTCATGATCTGCAGCATCAGGTCGTCTGGGACGGTCTGCGAAGATGTAGTCGGTGCCCTCTCTGCGTTGGTAGCGACGGGGCCCTCAGGAAGATCGTCAGACATCAGCGTTGGTACATCAGGCTGCATGGAGATCTGTGCTGACGTCACTGTTGCGGACACCGGTCGTTTCTTGTGGCGTAGATCGGGTTTGATGATCGGCTGATCATCATACAGGCCCAGTTCTGCAACGGGAACAATCTCGGCTGAGAAGGTTCTAGAAGACTTCGTCGATTTCCCCTTGGAGGTAGACGCTGCCCTGGGGGTACGGAGTCTGCGTTGTGATGATGTAGAAGCCCTCTTAGTCTTTGGCTGCGATGAGGGGATGTCTGGGGATGCAGGACACTTCTTGGAGACGGCGGACTGCGTCCCACGCCTCTCCTCCGAGGGTAACTCTAGCGGAACACCAGACGGGAGGGGGTCGTCCGACAGCAGTTGACTGGCGAGGGGTTCCGATGTATCGGCCATGGCTAAACCCTGTTTGCGTGACCTATCTGCTGCACGTCTCAAGACGCAAAGATAATATTTGTTAAATGCAGAATTAGACAAATTAATACAGTAACTGCAACGTGAAGAAAACGCATATGGTGCAGTACAGCTAGGGTATATTAAATGCGGATCAGCAGCAGAAAAATTTAATCTACAAATAGTACAGATTTTCATCAACGTAAACTTGCTGAACAATCACCGCGTCCCGTGAATAAACAGCAGAAATACGATTAATTATCAATACATAATTGTTGAAGGATACTAGCTACACCTCTATAATAGACTATAAGAGGTAACTAACTAAGAATAATCAAAGGATATAGTGTGTAGGGAGACACAGGCGCGCTCACATCCTGCTCACTGGGCGAAGAAGGAGAGAGTGAAGCATGAGGCCAGAGGGGGTGCCTCCTTTCCCGCGCAATTGGAAGAGGGAGGCAACTCGTGGTGAGTACTAATTAGTCATTTTACATTGAAGGGAGCTTCAATTAGGGAGATACAAGTGTTCCACTATGTTCGCAAGAAGAAGAAGACAAGCATAAGAGCATGAGTCAGGATAAGGAAAAATAATAGTATTAAGATTTCTATTAGATCTGGAAACATTTGGACACCATGTTTTCCGTTTGCCATAATTTCGTAGTATAATTCATTGATGAATAAAGAAAAGAGGATGGGGCTGAGAACACAACCTTGTCTCAGGCCGATTGGGAATTCAAAAAAATCAGTTAAATCATCACCGCAGCGTACGCATGCTTTCACATTATCATACATTTCTTTCAGAACTAAGTACATTTTCCGTTTAAGCCCAGAATTACGTAAACAGTACCAAAGCTTGGAACGATCAACAGAATCGAAAGCTTTGCGAAAATCGACAAAGGCAACATATAACTTCCGCTTACGGCGAGATAAACATTTTTCTACAAGGGCAAGTAGCTTAAATATATCATCTGACGCTGAGTATTGTTTCCTAAAACCTGCTTGCGATTCTGGAATAACATGTTTCATATTTGCCCATTTTGATAGTCGATTATTTAGAACAGTATCAAAAACTTTGCCAAGAGTACTAATGAGGGAAATACCGCTGTAATTATCAGGGTTTGTACAATCCCCCTTTTTATGTATAGGGATAATAACTGACATGCCCAACTGCGTGGAAATATACTAGTCTCGAACAACTTATTAAAGCACTTATTCAAAAATGGCATAATGATAATTTGTGAACACTTCAACATTTCTATAACAACTTGGTCCAAACCAGCTGATTTTCCGTTTTTTAAGTGCATCAACGCTTCACAAATTTCCTGATCTGTATTGAGTGAATCTAATAATCTGGGTCTGAATCATTTTCAAATGTCATACTTACTGCATCATCTTGCATATAAGTGCTTGTGAAAGCATCATTAAAAACACAATCATTTCTCAAAAACCCTTTAAAATGAGCAAGCCATGATGTTTTAGTAATTTTATTGCCAATGATTGGTCTGTTCTTGAATTTTCGTATTTGTTTCCAAAATGCTGGTGGTGAACCACTTGATTTGCAAAGTCTTTCTACATTTCGTTTACGCAAGTCCGATTTGTATCTTCTACAAAGGGTTTTGTATATATGTCTTTCCTTACAGTACAGTCTCCTGTTTAAATCACTACGATGTTTTCTAAATTTCCTAAGTGATTTTCGTGCAACCCTTCGTGCGTTTTTACACTCGGAGTTTAGCGGTGTCATCGTGAGAGGTTTCATGATACGTTTCTTCATGCAACTAGCAGACTCTACAATCATGCATATAAAATCCTCAAGTGCGTCATCAACGCAACTGTCAAGTTTATCTAAAAATGTCTGAATTCAACGAGCATAATTCGTCTTTAGATTATCAAAAAAATTGTGACAAAGAGCATCATTCCATATGATTTTATCAAGTAAACCTTCCGACGATGTATTAAGATTCGACGTTTTCAGGGTAGGAAATTTACAGGTTAGTTCCAGTGGCAAATGATCAGATTCTAATTGATCACCTATATTCAGCTTGCTGATATATTGAAAAAAGTCAGGGGGAAGAGATGAAATAGTCATTAACACTATTGCCTTGTTGTCCCATGAAAGTAAATTCACCTCGTTCGTTTCCGAACACTCTGCCATTAACAATAAATAGTTTTGTCCGAACTTATTAATGACAGTATCATGTGACTTTCGATTATTAACTGTGATATCATCATCATCTTCAAATACACCAATGTTGATATTTCTATCATCATTAACAGGAACCTGTGGGTTATTGCTCTCACCTGTTCGAGCGTTCATGTCACCACACAACAATGTATGCGAATCGCTTAATTGCGCCAGAATAGACGATAAAAAGTTATCAACTTGATCAAGGTTACATTTTGACTTAGTGTGATTATAATAGGACGAACCCGTTGGTGGTATGTTTGTACATAGTAGATTAATATTTCTATCAGAGGAGAATATATCTTTTGTGAAATTCAGACACACGAAATTATCAATGTCTGTTTTTATCAACTTACAAGCTTCACTCAGTGACGGGTGGGCACCTAGACAGACGCCACCAGAGAGTCTTCCATACACGGAGTGACTGGTGGGCACCTACACAGACGTCACCAGAGAGTCTTCCATACTCGGAGTGACTGGTGGGCACCTACACAGACGCCACCAGAGAGTCTTCAAAACTCGGAGTGACGGGTGGGCACCTACACAGACGCCACCAGAGAGTCTTCCATACTCGGAGTGACGGGTGGGCACCTACACAGACGCCACCAGAGAGTCATCAATACTCGGAGTGACTGGTGGGCACCTACACAGACGCCACCAGAGAGTCATCCATACTCGGAGTGACTGGTGGGCACCTACACAGACGCCACCAGAGAGTCTTCCATACTCGGAGTGACTGGTGGGCACCTACACAGACGCCACCAGAGTCATCCATACTCGGAGTGACGGGTGGGCACCTACACAGTCGCCACCAGAGAGTCTTCCATACTCGGAGTGACTGGTGGGCACCTACACAGACGCCACCAGAGCCATCCATACTCGGAGTGACGGGTGGGCACCTACACAGACGCCACCAGAGTCATCCATACTCGGAGTGACTGGTGGGCACCTACACAGACGCCACCAGAGAGTCTTCCATACTCGGAGTGACTGGTATGCACCTACACAGACGCCACCAGAGAGTCTTCCATACTCGGAGTGACTGGTGGGCACCTACACAGACGCCACCAGAGTCATCCATACTCGGAGTGACTGGTGGGCACCTACACAGACGCCACCAGAGAGTCTTCCATACTCGGAGTGACTGGTGGGCACCTACACAGACGCCACCAGAGTCATCCATACTCGGAGTGACTGGTGGGCACCTACACAGACGCCACCAGAGAGTCTTCCATACTCGGAGTGACGGGTGGGCACCTACACAGACGCCACCAGAGAGTCTTCCATACTCGGAGTGACGGGTGGGCACCTACACAGACGCCACCAGAGTCATCCATACTCTGAGTGACGGGTGGGCACCTACACAGACGCCACCAGAGAGTCTTCCATACTCGGAGTGACGGGTGGGCACCTACACAGACGCCACCAGAGAGTCTTCCATACTCGGAGTGACTGGTGGGCACCTACACAGACGCCACCAGAGAGTCTTCCATACTCGGAGTGACTGGTGGGCACCTACACAGACGCCACCAGAGAGTCTTCCATACTCGGAGTGACGGGTGGGCACCTACACAGACGCCACCAGAGTCATCCATACTCGGAGTGACTGGTGGGCACCTACACAGACGCCACCAGAGAATCTTCCATACTCTGAGTGACTGGTGGGCACCTACACAGACGCCACCAGAGAGTCTTCCATACTCGGAGTGACTGGTGGGCACCTACACAGACGCCACCAGAGTCTTCCATACTCGGAGTGACGGGTGGGCACCTACACAGACGCCACCAGAGCGTCTTCCATACTCGGAGTGACTGGTGGGCACCTACACAGACGCCACCAGAGTCATCCATACTCGGAGTGACTGGTGGGCACCTACACAGACGCCACCAGAGAGTCTTCCATACTCTGATAATTGATAGCAGGGCTGTAATCTATATCGTAGTAACCAATCAACAGTAGAAACATTATCAACAAATGTTTCTACCAAACATATAACTTGAAAATCAAGTAAATTATTGATGAAGTCTGGGTCATATATTTTGTTTTTAAGTCCATTCACGTTCCAACAAAGGAAGTTAAACGCTCCACCACAACCCTCACTGATAGGCGTGTCGGTGTGTGTGTAGCTGTCATCACTACCGGTGTCAAGGTTACAAGTTCCATGTGAAATAAGTAACGGGCCTTGGCCGAAGTACCACCGCAACTGAGCGTGGTACCTCCGCAACTGAACGTGGTACCACCGCAACTGGGCGTGGTACCTCTGCAACTGAGCGTGGTACCTCCGCAACTGAACGTGGTACCACCGCAACTGAACGTGGTACCTCCGCAACTGAGCGTGGTACCTCCACAACTGAGCGTGGTACCACCGCAACTGAACGTGGCTTCGTGATCATTTTACCGTTCTTGAAAAAGCCAAACTGATTTGTTCCTTTGAGAGCTTGCAGTTGTTGTCGCTGACGTGTTGTCAGATCGCTTGATATGCCGTACCCGTTTGCCTTGAGTGCTGGTCTTTCCTTGAGAGCTCTCACCTTGTCGTCAGACAGCATAAGTTTTACATTAACAGGGCGTGGTCGATCATCGTTTTGACGATGCTTTCCAAGGTGGTGAGCACGGTGAATGTCACACGGCTGCCATGTTTTAACTGACTGACTGACTGAGTTTGGTTTTACGCCGCTTTTAGCATAGTCCAGCAATATCACGGCGGGGACACCAGAAATGGGCTTCACTCATTGTACCCATGTGGGGATTCGAACCCGGGTCTTCGGCGTGACGAGCCAACGCTTTAACCACTGGACTACCCCACCGCCCCGCCATGTTTTAAAGGTTAAATGTTCATTAAAGACTGAAAGGACCTTTTCTTTACAGGCCATGGATTTCTCGTTTTCTGATTCTGACACACCATACAGAATACCAATATCACGTCGGCTATATGACTCTAACTTATCCAGTTCATCATCTATACGAGAAACTCTTAAGGATACACATTCCACTTTACAGTTAGGGCATCAATATCGTTGTACACAACATAATGGTTCTGTTTTACCTCGTTAATGTCTGACTTGAGCTCACTAACCCTTTTATCCAAATCAATACATTTCGAGTTGATTGCTTTGGCTGCGGATTTCAAGTCGGATAATCCTGATCTGACTTCACGTAGCTCGCTCATTGAAGTATCTCTAACTCCTCCAGTGTAGGCGAGCGGGGTTAGATTGGACATCATGAGAACACATCAGTAACTGTGATATCACAGCCGTGGGTAGAGCTTGGCCTCCTAACAAGCAAGCCTGGTGTGCACGTGGAGCATGAGGCGATGTCATAGACAAAACTGGGTCACATTCACACACTACACAAAAGAATGTCGTTTCTTTTGGCAAATGTGCATCAACATTGAAATTTTCACACCAGTTTATAACACAGAAAGATGCAGACAAATGGATCCCCAACAGTAGGATGCAGATAAACAGTCTAAAGTGAAAATCCGAGCCGGCCACGTATGGCGAGTACTCACTGTCTCTGTGAAGTGTGACTTGTCGGGTAGCCCTCGGGTGGGTGAAAGATCCAATTCTGGCTCTATACATCTCGATTGCAATCATATTCTCGGGTAGAATGTGTGATCATATACTTACTGACACACCACACCAGGGAGGTGTATATACGGGTTTGGTTTTACAGAGCAATTGAAGAAAATATCTCTCTGCTCAACAACAGCAACACAGCTCGCGCCACCAAGGGCACGTAGCTCACTGAGGAGGAATGGGTGGTTGTAATGGTCACCTAGGTAACTATGGATCCTGGTGTCCCAGTGGCGTGGTCATACTATCAACCACAGGTTTGTCTGGTACAGTACATGCTGTCATTCACTCACTCACTTACAATCTTGGGATGCCTGGTAGCCCAGTGGTTAAAGCGTTTGCTCGTTCGATTCCCCACATGAGTACACTTTGTGAAGTCCATTTCTGGTGTACCCCGTCATGATTATTGGAATATTGCTAAAATCGGCACTCAGTCACTTAAAATCTGTCATTGGTTCAAATAATTTTTTACTGCGAAAGCAGTATAAAATTACATACGATGACGAAATACATGATAAACGAACTTCATTTATATCATTTGTGATATTCCTTTTCTCTAAGAAAAACGGAATGTATTTCCAAACCCAAGACAAATATCAATACACATGTAATTTATACAGCCCTAAGGCTCGATTTATTGTTTATCTAAAAAACTTAATGTCTGAAACAACATAGATACCGCCTATAGATAACTGCAACACTTCAAAGATACTGACCAAATATTAAAGGTGGGGCGGACAGATATGCTCCATTTTTGGATGCGTCATAACGGGTTACCAGTCACTGTCCTCGTCCTCCTCGTCTTCCTCGTCCTCAACTTCAATAATGCAATAAGTGTACATTCGAAGATCGATGTCCCCTTTATAGATGAGAATGTTACGTGACTGGTAATTCACAAACTTGACCTCTGAAACTGGCAGGAGGATTTTGATTGCAAAATCTACCCTGCCGATATCCATTAGGTCCTCCCAGAATCCCGGAGCGCCGTCGTAGTTGTTTCGGGCCACCTCCTGTTTGCTGAAGTCGTCAGGGTCCATCGTCGTTCCATACACTCCTACAGAGCAACACACGGAGAGGAATACATACGCCTGACATTAGTAAGCATATTGTTCCAGTCAAGTAGACGGAGGAACAGAGAATCTTAGTGCTCGTGATTTTATTCCGATATCTATGGAAAAGTACTGTGAAATATATAACTGTCACTTTCAGCATTGTTATATGTTCAAATATTCGAACAAACTCATCCAAAACGTGACGGTAGGGTTAAGCATAATGGTTAAAGCGTCCACTCGCATGCTAAAGACCCGGGTTCGATTCCCCACATATGGGTACAATGTGTGAAGCCCATTTCTGGTGTCCCCCGCCGTGATATTGCTTCAATATTGTTAAAAGCTGCGTAAAACCATACTCACTCACTCATCCCAAACTCCTCTTACTAACTGACCTTCACCGAATGCGACATCGCCATCCCCGGGTTTCTTGCGACTTTGTTTGACTGTCATACTCTGCACTATGGCGTTCTTCCCCTCCTCATCAGTGTAGTGGTAAAACTCTATGTAGCTCATACCTCCGAGATACTGCTAAAACAAGTGAACACAGTTGTGCATAGGCCTTTAACCAATAACATAAGTCTTAATGAAAAGGCCACAATTGCTGTATTAACGTATATCAACTTCTTTCTGATAATGGAGTATATTCGGAGTATATTCTAACTCCTTCATCAGCCGAAGTTATCTAGAATCTACTGCATGAACGTTCTATTAAACTATGTACTGAGTAGGTTATGGTTAAGGGTTTAGCGAGGCAGGCAGACGGTGTTTCACCCCGTCGTAATCGGTATCAAAATACTCATGTCTAAACATGTTCAGATTTTGTTAGGTCATGTTTGTAACTTCAGGAGATAGTTCGATGACATATTTGTGGAGTAATTTGAACACTTTTGGCGAGGACAAAACCTTGTCTTCATATTTCCACATGACATGTTTATGTAATTTCCTTAAATCTATGTGACACACCCAAGTGAATACAACCGGCATCAGCTGCAGGGTTTGACTGGTGTGTGATTGAAGGGAAACAAAGGACATGTACAGTAACTAAAATAGTAACTATAAGATCATCTTGACAACACTGACGACACCAAATGATTGTAAACAGCCTGAGGAGATGTTGATCCAAATGTCTTCCAAGGATGGGTCCAACAGAGCTGTCGTTACCGAGCTCGTTCGGTCGTAGACAGTTTCCAGTCTCATCCTAGACGTGTCCTATGGGAGATTAATCTGCCCTGGTTGTGCGCAGTATATTCACTGGATGAAGGGGTAAAAATATACTCCCAAACGTCGTTTTCCTTTCAAGGAGGCTGACTTCCATAAATGTTGTCCTTTGTTAACTTATATTATCCTTTTTTAAGTATGTACAGAGTACCGGTAGCACTCACCTGTGACCACGGTCAAGTCCGATGTTGTTCCAATAGAGAAAGACGGAAAAATGAATTTCGAGGAAAATGGTGAGTCACATCACCTGATCACAATTTCCTGGGAATGATACATTAGGGACCGTTCATAATTTATGGCTACATTAGGTGTGTGTGTGTGTGTGTGTGTGTGTGTGTGTGTGTGTGTGTGTGTGTGTGTGTGTGTGTGTGTGTGTGTGTGAGAGAGAGTGTGTGAGAGAGAGAGAGAGAGAGAGAGAGAGAGAGAGAGAGAGAGAGATGATGATGATGATTTTAGGGGGGCCATTTTGTTCTGGGGAGGTGGGGGTCATCAATTTTGTACACGTGTACTGGGGGTAATCAATTTTGTACATGAAAATATTTAAAAAATTAGGCTTACAAAATATGGGAAGGGGTGGGGGTAATTGATTTTGTACATGATATGCAGGGGGGGGGCACTTACTTTGTACATAAATGTTAGGGGGGGTCACATTGTGCATGCTTCTCCATAAAAATCATCATCACCCCCCTGGCCATGAATTATGAACAGTCCTTTATAGGGTTAAGTGAGACACGCAAACGGTATTAGCTACAAAGTTGACTGGGTATCACCGAGGTGATATTTAAACATGTAGTCTGTGACTGTAATATTATCTTGCAAGAGTATGTTGCTTTACTGGACTTTTACTCCCGATTAGATCTTTGTATCTCCCTCAAAATCAACTCAGGGACCACCATTCAGTAAAACAACACTGCTGTTTTCACATTCACTGGACCATCATTTCAGAAAATCACATCTTCACCACAGGAAAAGGGAAACCAAGCTTCATATCAAGTAGTGTAGATACTATGTTCTCGAAAATACCATAACATATGGTCATTTGTCTAATCTTTACCTATATAACACATAACTTCTCCTTCAAGAGGACCGGAGTAACAACACAGATAGTATTGTCAATATCGGGAGAACCGATGGGTGAGGCTTGTGCACTGCGCTGTAACCTGCTGAAGGAGGAAAACGGAATAACTGGCGACAAGGCTCGCTACCGAGTAAACATCTGAGGCGTGTTCAGAACCGCGAGCGCCCGCGAACGCTAGCGAGCGCTCGATCCTGAACGCCTGTGCCCGCTCGAGCGCCCGCGCGCGCACGCGAACAATTCTCACAGCTGCCTCGCCAAGCGAACCAAGATAGCGATCATGTTTAATGTCATTCGTCACCACTCGCCCCTTTCCGTAACCTCCAAAAAGAAGGCGTGGAGGATATTTTGTTAATGTTGTCATATAACATGTATATTTCATCGAGTGGTCTGACAAAGTTGATATGTTCACGTGTGGCGTAACCATTGACATAAACAAAATATATTCTTTTTATTATATTTTGATCATTGTTTATAAATGATCGAGACATCGATTTCGTAGTTTGTGTTTCGTAGTTCCAGGCAAAAGTGATATACTACTCAGTGAAAATGAAAATACCATCTTTCTTTTCACCAATATGTCAGTATTTCACCCTTAAGAATAGAATAAAAGAAGCTATTCGGCTTGTCCCGGAACAACACGAGTTGGTCACGAATGGTTTTATTGTAACCAAGCGCTCGCGTCCGTTCAGGGCCGATGCGAGCGCTCGCGGGGGGCAATCGCGCGGGCGCTCGCGGTTCTGAACACGCCTCTGGTGTATGTGGGCCACGGATAGACGACTAGACTCACTTCCCTGCAAACATCTGGTGTATGAGGGTCACGGATAGACGACTAGACTCACTTCCCTGCAAACATCTGGTGTATGAGGGTCACGGGTTGACGAGTAGACTTACATCCCTGCAAACATCTGGTGTATGAGGGCCACGGATAGACGACTAGACTTACTTCCCTGCAAACATCTGGTGTATGAGGGCCACGGATAGACAACTAGACTTACTTCCCTGCAAACATCTGGTGTATGTGGGCCACGGATAGACAACTAGACTTACTTCCCTGCAAACATCTGGTGTATGAGGGCCACGGATAGACGACTAGACTTACTTCCCTGCAAACATCTGGTGTATGAGGGCCACGGATAGACGACTAGACTTTCTTCCGTGGAAACATCTGGTGTATGAGAGCCACGGATAGACGATTTGACTCACTTCCCCACAAACATCTGGTGCATGAGAGCCACGGATAGACGACTAGACTCACTTCCCTGCAAACATCTGGTGTATGAGAGCCACGGATAGACGATTAGACACACTTCCCCACAAACATCTGGTGTATGAGAGCCACGGATAGACGATTAGACTCATTTCCCTGCAAACATCTGGTGTATGAGAGCCACGGATAGACAATTAGACTCACTTCCTGCAAACATCTGGTGTATGAGGGCCACGGATAGACGATTAGACTCACTTCCCTGCAAACATCTGGGGTATGAGGGCCTCGGATAGACGATTAGACTCACTTCCCTGCAAACATCTGGGGTATGAGGGCCACGGATAGACTAACTTCCCTGCAAACATCTGGTGTATGAGGGCCACGGATAGACGATTAGACTCACTTCCTTGCAAACATCTGGTGTATGAGGGCCACGGATAGACGATTATACTCACTTCCCTGCAAACATCTGGTGTATGAGGGCCACGCATTTACTACTAGACTTGACTGTTAAGTGATATTTACAATTCTCTCAAATGTTCTTGTACAACGATCTCTGTATGGATTACTGTGTTTTGCTCACAGTACTCAATGGTCATTAGGTTTTAGCCCTCCTTCAGCACTTTATTAATGAGGTTAGTGAGGAAAAGCAATGAATAAGACTTAGCGAATTTGGGGTACAAAGTCAGGATTATGTGATCCCTTATTGCCTTAGAGAAGCACAGTGAAATACATCACCGTAGAGGACTGTTGTCCACCTTCCCTGGTATTCCCGTACATGAAAGTATAAACGTGAACCCTGCTATCACCAGCTATTGCCTGGTACTATTCTCTGTCACAGCACAACACAACATCTACCAGTATTTGTTCAGTATTTTATTGGACGGAATATTACATTTTGTACAATGTATTCATCTTGAAAATACATCTGAAATCTAAGTGTATCCCCCCCCAAATTTGAATAAGACAAATGGCTTAGAACATCATTGTAATAGTGAAACATTGTCTGTAATGGATGCATTAATAAAAAATAACAATGTATTGTCATGCTTTCATGTCACTGAGATTTCAATATAACATATTCAATTTGTAATGTTACCATTTTCAAAATGGCATTGTATAGTCATGTATTCCATTTGGACTTTATCATGTTTATATAATTAGCATGTACCACTTACCATTAGCTGAGCTGAGTTAAAAAACTTAGTTACTGATGTCCCGTATGCATTGCAAGATCTAAAAACGTCAACAGACTTATGTTTGACTGCACAATCCCGCCATTCAGGTTTTCTATACTGGGCTAAAAATACTGTACAGATTTACTGACACACAACTGCAAATACAGGACTTTAAGGTGTGAACATTAGTATCTTCTGTAGTGTTACTCTGCAGTACATTTACACACCTTTGAAACAGATCTTTACTGACTTCTCGTGTCCAATTCTCCAGAAGCAACAAAAGCAAAACTTTCAACTTGGGAATTACAGAAACAGTCATGATTAACATCAAATTTACATGTTGAAGAGTCAATGTTTCTGTGGAAACATTGGAATTCATAGTAGCATTTCTATTGTGTATGTTTAACCCAAATCAATCAATAGTACTTTTCTTTAAGAACATAAATTAAATATGACAGAAGAGTAAAAAACTGGACGGAAATGCCTGACATCCCAAATTACATTCTTCATAACTGATTCCATCATGGCAAATTCAGATGGTCATCGTGTACTCAGCAATGTCATCTCCTCCTCTCAAAACTTAAAATGTAAAAGCTGCACGTAAATAAATTGTCACAATTTGGCTTCTCAGAAAGTCTGCATACTTTAGTAGAACTGCTTGAACAAATACTTTTGTGTACATTGATATCTTCTTCATGTGAAAAATATTCTGTATGGGATGGAACTGTTTCCTTGTAAATATGGAATGTCTCTATCAACAAAGGATGTATTTACAAGAATCACAGGTGATATAGCACACACGAACACACACACACATTGGAATGTTTCATAGATATAAATAGTTTCTTGTATATACAATCAGTTTTCAGATCACAAGCTAACTGAAGAGCATCACAGAAATACTGAAGTGTCTTAACAAGATTAAAGCACAGTCCGCTCCCTACTGGTAAAACTGTCAGACTGTAAAGCTGAAATCAGGTGGGTCAGTCATTATAAATAGGGTTGTAAAGCCATAGATTTACAGACAAAAGACTTTCCCCATGAATATATCTCAAACATCTTGGTCAAGATCAACTAACCCGCAAGTGTAAAAACTTTGGTGGTGCTGATACCAAATTATACTAGGATAGTGGGGTAAACAGAGTTTTCTTCTTGTTTTCATTTCCGGTTAATCTGTCCTGAACTGTAATATCCTCTCAATGTTTAAAAAATTATAGTGCAGTTTAAAAAGGAGATAAAACAGGCAGACGTAAAAATGCTGGCATGCTCTTCTAAAGGAACCAAATGTCAATACTGTGGACTGTGACTATACATAATACTCCAGAATAATGATTGATTTTGTGTCATTCCTGTAAACTGTCATGCGAGGATTAAAATATGGGTACAGGTCACAGAATCAAAAAGTGGACGGAAAGACGAATACAGACGTGCATAGCTGTGTGCCTCTTGGCAGACACGGGGGCATCACATTATATCATCCAGAATCACTGTAACACAAACCAACTCAACCTGGCTTTCCAAAGGTTTACTGTCAGTTTCTAGGTACCCTAAAAATGCACTTTAAAATTGAGTTCTATCATTAGACTAGTCACTTAATGCAAACTGTGCACAATGTTTCATCAATTCATTGGCAAGTCATCAAATAGTTAGACCATTATGCACCATTCAGTTAAATAACTTCTCAGTATTAAAGGTACTGCACACTTTATCACAAGTTTATACACTGGACTTTCATAACAGCTGACCTCCAGCATAACAATATTGTAGATTTGTACACACAACAGATAACTATTCTCTCTTAATACTCATGCAAGGCAATTATATGCAGTTTTTGTAACAAACAAATATATGCTCAGTAATGTTTCTCTTCAACAAATTCTATACCTTTGACACTTCAACAACAAAAGTTTACTATCACAAATTGAGGTACTAAGAAAGTGATTTCTTTATTGTTGAAACTCTTCACAATCATCCTGGTGCGTACAATGTTCCAGGATTACAGTCACACTCCACGACTAGTACACCACATTCAACCCAGGCTAAACCTTCCTGGCCAGCAGATGCCCATCACCCTGGTGCTTCCAAAGGTTCAAAGCTGGACTGATAGGTCTCTATTCTCTTCAGCAGCTGTGATGCAACAGGACAGAAGTCTGCCTCCCATGTTTCACACAGGTAGTCCTTGAAATCTTCATCAACTTCTTCCCTGAGAGATGCTTCTAAAGCTGTCTCCCTATCTGAAAGCAGTGAAAGACAAATACCAATGATAATACTGTCCACGTTCCCCTGCAACTCAGGGTAATCCTTCATGACAAATGTAGTAAGTGAATGCTGTTTAATAGTACATCAGCAATTTTGTAGTCCTTCACTGACATACCTGGAAATGGTGTTGTCTTATTGTTTCACATTGCAACAACAACAATGTTCTAAGCTATACGAACCGGGGTAACCAGTGAGTGTTTCAGTGTCTCAACTATCAAGGAATATAACTCTATACCCTTCACCATGGGCTTTATTTTGATGTCTTGCAGCTATCACTGAAAGGATAAAACCTGTTGGTTTAAAAACATATGGAGTGAGTACGGTTTAACACCGCATATAGTCATATTCGGTCCATATTATGGCAGGAGACACCGGAAGTAGGCTACATACATTGTACCCATGTGGGGAATCAAACCTAAGTGAGGGAGTATGGTTTTACGCCGCTTTCAGCAGTATTCCAGCAAAAATCACGGCGGGGGACACCAGAAATGGCTTCACACAATATACCCATATTGGGAATCGAACCCGGATCTTCGGCGGCGTGATGAACAGATACTGAGCTGAACTACCCCACCACCCCAATACAGACATAAGCAAGAGAGTCATGAATATAGACTTAACATTGTGTGAAGTGAAGGCAAGTGATGTGTAAGGAAGACTCACCCAGATATTCTACCAACACATCAACGAGATCCTGTGCCTCGGCCTCCCCAAAGCAGGAGTTTGTACTTGTGATCTTGGTGCTGTAGTTACACAACACCTTACACACAACACTGCCCAACTGCCAGTCCTCACGGCCGAAGTCTCGCAACACTTCAGTCAACCTGAAACATGGCCACAATGTCAACAGTATGTCCTACACATGACCACTGTCTCTACCAACCAGTGCATATTATGCTATGGATAAGACAATCAGCCCACGCAGGTATGTAACCTTATCCTGAAGGAGCTGACAGACACATAGTGAGTGAGTACGTTGTTTAATATAACAGTACATAACATCAAAGATTGATCTCTTTTGCCCCAGAATCCCAAGGAGATATAACAAGGAACATGTTTAGCAGATGCCTATCTGCATCATGCAAGAAGCACACCAAGGTTCATATTCAATGCTGCAGGAATACACTGTTGCTTAACTTACTTTTTTATGCCACCTTCTTTCTTGAGAAGAGGTCGCTTGTCTTCATCAGCCATGAAGTTGATTAGAACACCACATGCAATGAACACCAGCTCTCTGTTGCCAGAGTCCAGCAAGGTGATCATGATCTCATCAACTGAAATTCATCAGATTACTCAACAGTTTCTGTTTGAAACACCAGTGACGGGACTGCTTAACAACCTGCTTAAATCTAACATTATTCATGCATTTAACCTGTATTTCACTGTAACAGTTTGGAGGATAATATCATAAAGAGGTTTGAATGGTTCATCATTCTTCCAAATAGATACTGATTTCACATTTCAGTATAACTTGCATTTGGATACATACAAATTTGGAAGAAAACAAATCGTTGGACCTACAAAGCCATAAAGTAACAAACATTATAGTCTCACCCACCTTTCTGCTTGGAGAGAAGATCTCTAACAGTCCTCTGCCTGGTCAGATTGCCGAACACTCGCGATGCTTCTAACATGGCCTCCATGTTGTCTGTCATCACCAGTTTCAGTAAGACTGAAGCGAAACAAGACCTCTCAAAACAATACCAATTCAGATGTCAACACATAACACTCCAACAGACCTTTGCTATGAATGAGTTTAACAGAACCTTAAACCTGCCCCTGTCCCTTCAACTGTTAACCAAACACCTTAATCCTGACCATGTGCCCCTTCAACTGTTAACAGAACACCTTAATCCTGCCCTTGTCCCTTCAACTGTTATCAGAACACCGTAATCCTGCCCCTTCAACTGTTAACAGAACACCTTAATCCTGACCATGTGCCCCTTCAACTGTTAACCAAACACCTTAAACCTGGCTCTGTGCCCCTTCAACTGTTATCAGAAACCTTAACCCTGGCCATGTGCCCATCCAACTGTTAACAGAACACCTTAATCCTGACCATGTGCCCCTTCAGCTGTTAACAGAACACCTTAAACCTGGCTCTGTGCCCCTTCAACTGTTAACAGAACACCTTAATCCTGACCATGTGCCCCTTCAACTGTTAACAGAACACCTTAAACCTGACCATGTGCCCCTTCAACTGTTAACAGAACACCTTAAACCTGGCTCTGTGCCCCTTCAACTGTTAACAGAACACCTTAATCCTGACCCTGTCCCTTCAACTGTTATCAGAACACCTTAAACCTGGCCATGTGCCCATCCAACTGTTATCAGAACACCTTAAACCTGACCATGTGCCCATCCAACTGTTATCAGAACACCTTAAACCTGACCATGTGCCCATCCAACTGTTAACAGAACACCTTAAACCTGGCCATGTGCCTATCCAACTGTTATCAGAACACCTTAATCCTGACCATGTGCCTATCCAACTGTTAACAGAACACCTTAAACCTGGCTCTGTGCCCCTTCAACTGTTAACAGAACACCTTAAACCTGACCATGTGCCCATCCAACTGTTAACAGAACACCTTAAACCTGGCTCTGTGCCCCTTCAACTATTATCAGAAACCTTAAACCTGACCATGTGCCCATCCAACTGTTAACAGAACACCTTAAACCTGGCTCTGTGCCCCTTCAACTGTTAACAGAACACCTTAATCCTTGTTCTCTGCCCCTTCAAGTGTTAACAGAACATCTTACACCAGTCCCCATGCCAGTTCAACTGCTAATATCCTGGAAATTTCTAAAGTAATAACATGATCATGTTGTACACTGAAGTGCAGGTTCAACATATAACATGAAACTTGTCATTAGTGAGAAGATGTTCACTCACCCTGAGCTACAGTGTTCTGATGGGCTGTGATGGCGCTGGTCTTGGTGGTGTAGTACGACAGGTTGTTGATTGTAGCTACAGTGTTAAGAATCAGCTCCTCGCTGCTTCCAATGTCTTTAGAATCTGAAGAAATACCATTTCATCATCAATACACATCAGGCTTGAGAAGTTTCAGAAAAACATTTCAATATACTTACATATTGTCTAACCAGAAATTCTTCCAAACAACTGGGATTTTATAGAAAAGAAACAAAGTTAAAAGTTTTCATCGACTGTTACTTAGAGTATTCAGTATTCAGACTTCAGATTCACTGTTAATCAGTGTATGAATTTTATTAACATTCTTGCCCCAGTAAATACACACCAAGTATTGCTAGCAACAGCTGTACACATTCCACATGGGAAGCTATGACTGGCCCAACGGAATCATTGATGGACAAGTTTGCGATTACTCTGACAACTTTGATAAGAACATCATCTATTGTGTTGATAGCACCGTCCCCATCACTATTGGTGTGTCTGCCATTTGTGGTAACATTCTCAGGGTTTGACCTTTTCTGAAAGACAAAAATCAGGTGTTACTAATTTGAAATGCAGACATAATCACATAGGTATATTGTCATGGACTGTTAGTGTCTGAGTCACGTAAAGGGCGATGATGAACAACAGTGATACATCTGAAGTGTGTTTGAGGGTTGTGACCCCAGACTGTTGGGCTACTTTGTGGAAACATGTATGGATACATCACAGACTAAGTACTGTCATGCTGGTCCACAGATCATTATAGCCCAGTAAATGATCCAGCTGTTTTACTTCCTAATTGTTAGATTGTATCGCAAAACCTATTTTTACTGCATACAGCGTTCTGTTCACTTCACTTACTACTGTGTGAAGAACTTTCTTTATTGGTAGTTTAAACACCATATATTCTGTAAAGAATACCTTCATCTTTACACTGCTTGTGCTTATTCTGTCCCATAAAGGAATACATTTTAAATGATTCAAGTCAGAGAAAAAAACAAACATGAAAGGTGTAAAGATGATGAATTCATTGTACTTCCACACTTCACATTGAAGGTTGTTCCTGTGAGGCTTACTATATTTACCTGAGACTCCATGTTGTGGAATGTTTTTAATACTGAAAGCAGGGTAGACATGGCATTAGTTTCCTGGAACAGTCTTTTCCTGGCATCATCATTCTTGGCTGTGATGTTCCCCAGTACAAAACACACTCTGACAACGACGTCCTGCAACACCACACAGCAATACACCACAGAGGTCAACATGGACAGTGGACACTGGGCAAGTGGGGGGAACTCTACAGTAGCCAGTTTAAACATCTGCATTCGTGCTTTGAAACTACTCTCATCTGTTACAGAAAAATTCAAGTTCTGATATTTCCTAACACAACCTACATGACTGTGTGTCCTTGAAAGTCAAACTTGTTGTAACATGAAAACTATACAAGCATTTACCCACACTTTCAAGAACAGAACTCCTTTGCACAGCCTATAAAATCACAATGCACACCCCTATACACATCCAGTCTAATAACAGGTGATACATTACCTTCAATTGAGGGAAATACATCCCTACTACATTTCAAATCAGACTAAAGCAGCTTGCCTCCAGGTAACATAATGAGGAAAATCTCAATCTGAAAATAGTCCTCTCATTCTTGCTGATGAAGTACCATCATGCATATCTGCATTGAGGGACCGCTTAAAGTCTTATAGCATCACTTCCAGTTTGGGATAGCAAAAAGACCTACACCATAACTAGCACCATCACAAAGTAACATGCACTCCCAGTAATATATTTCAGGTTGGGACAAATTACGCCCAGTACAGTACATATCTGAAAGAAAGTACCATGCCTCAAGCCAGCTTCAGAAGAAAGTACCAGTATAGGCACTTTCAGGTTAATGATTGTGGAGACAGTTCCGACAGATTGAAACATCCCTATTTACACTAGCCAATCTACTGAGCTTACTGGCTCCAAACATTCATTTCTTTTTCATACTCGGAATAAAACATTCAGTTTGAGAATGTTCATAACAATATGTCAGAAAATAGTACTTACACTATTAGCTGGTCCTCCAGTACTGTTTATTTGGGCTTGGACAGGTAATGTTGTTACAATCCTTGCAATATAGGACAATTAAAGGACTTACAACCCTCATTCCCATGAACCCATATAAGAAACCAAGTTACCTCCTTGTTGACATGTCTGTTGAGCAAATGAATGAAAGACTTGTAGCAGGAATGTTGATTGGCCAAAACAGTGCAGCAGTCCGTATGGAGCGTCACTTTACTGCAAGTAAACATAGTATTGGGTAATGCAGGATAAGTATACATAGACTTGGGCCTGACAGAGTTGGTTGGACTCTGCTACTTGCTCTACAGTGGACCCCAGTAACCACTAGCCACCAGTAAACAACATTCTATTCTTTGAAGAGACCTCAGTTAATCATTTGCATGGTTCTGAATCTATACCAAGAATCTATAATAAGAACCTACACCAAGAATTTAGAAAAACTCTCAATGAAATCTTTGAAGGGCATTTAGAAGTGGAGTGCAGAATAAAAGCAAGATTTATAGATGTCAACTTCTTTATTGTGAATGAGGGACCTGATGAAGGAGCAAGCATAAATCTTGCTTTTCTAAACTGTCAAAGCTCAATACAAAACCTGGGAATGGCCTACCAAGAACAAACACCAGTTGCCCCCAACATAATGTACAACATCCACTCCTTCCCCAGACATCTTGGCAGTAGTAGCTCCACAAGCACCCCCGCATTGTAGGTCACAGTGAATTTCAACACACAGAGGTCATGGGGGTTGTTGGCCCTTGGGTGCTCAAATCCTTATGCATGGGATTGTGGATCTCAGCTAAAAGGAGATTGTGTTCACCAAAAACTATTTATGAAAGTAATTGGTTAATTATATGTCACCCTCCAATTCTTAAGCTACACAACAAAACAAAACATGAGGATCAGCAGACAATCATAAGAAAAGTTGGATTGGGTTGGGTTGGATTGGGTTGTTTTTTTTTGGTTGTTGTTTAACGCCCTACTCAGCAATATTCCAGCTATATGGTGGTGGTCTGTATCAAGTCTCGACCAGACAATCCAGTGATCAGTAGCATGAGCATCAACCTACGCAATTGGCATATGATGACATGTCAACCAAGTCAGCAAGCCTGACCACCCGATCCCGTTATGACAAGCATGGGTTACTGAAGACCAATTCCAACCCAGATCTTCACTGGTCTCATAAGAAAAGATAAAGTGGATCGGGTGGTCAGTTAATGCCAAGGACATGTGCTCAAATCGGGTCCCACATCAGGTCAATCTCTGTGTGCAGCTTACCTGAATATTCTGGATATGTAGAGTACGAGATCACAGTCATTAGGGTAGGCATCAAGGAGATGACTCAGGCTCTCTATGACCCCAGTCTGCAAGAAGCGCTCCCTCCCAGATCCCACATCAGCCAGGTTGCGCAGGGCTGCACAGAGCTGCACACAGGATAATCTTCATATACTACATACACCCAGCTACATATAGCTCACTCTGAACCAACAGGACGAGATATTAGATCGTGTATTAGTTTTCATTCACAACAGCATACGGCTTGTTTCTTGGGCATTATCTTCATAAACATACGAAAAAGACAATTTGATTCAAACCAAAATATAAGGACTCTAATGTGAGACTACAACAGACACTATAGAAAATGATGTCAAGATAAGCAACCACTGCAGTGTTTTGGTAACATGGTAACAACAGTGGTGGTGTGTGGTCTCAAGGACGCACAGAGCCCAGGTCACAAATCAGGTAAACAATGTTGGTCATGAAGAGTAATTGGATGGGTGACCGTGTTTCTAGGACTTCAGTCCTGCCTCACAACGAAGAACATATGACACATGTGGTCTCACCCTAGGCTTGTGAGTTTATTAAAAAAAAATGTCTCTCTTCACCCAGCAGTGAATGGGTACCCGGTGGGATCAGACATATGACTGTTAACCTTCTAGTGCCTCAGGGACAGCTTGGGTTAAATGGGGTAATAATGTCTTAGTGCCTTGAGCATGCACAAGTTTGTGCAAACAGGCACTTCTTTAGCAGCCATTTTTAAAATTAAAAATGTAATTTTCTGACTAAAATTGATATTTTATACTTATCCTGACTCGTGCTAAATGCTTGTCTCCTTCTCCTTGCAAATGATAGTGGAACACTTGAAATCCCTTGAAGTTCCCTTCTAAAAAGCGGACGTAAAATCACCACTCACCCACGAGTTACCTCCCTTGCCTCCTTGGTGCCCTTTTGGTCAGCTGACCAGCCATGTTTGTCACTCTCTCTGTATGTATGCCCAACACCAGGATTTACAGGGAAATCCTGAGTGCCATAAGAGGGGAGGTTGGGAGGGCTGACCTCATGAGTCAGGATAAGTATAAAATATCAATTTTAGTCAGAAAATGTAATTTTTTGAGTAAAATTGATATTTTATACTTATCCTGACTCATGCTCTTTTGCTTGTCTCCTTCCTCTTGCTTCTTGCGAACATAGTGGAACACTTGTATCTCCCTAATTGAAGTTCCCTTCAATGTAAAATCACTAATTAGTACACCACGAGTTACCTCCCTTCCACAAGCGCGGGAACGAGGGCGCCACCTCTACCCATGTGCCTCACTCTCTCCTCATATACTGAGCCCAACATTTGAATTTACAGGGAAATCCAAAGTGTTATTTGGGGAGGATGGGAGGGCTGACCTCATGAGTCAGGATAAGTATAAAATATCAATTTTACTCAAAAAATTACATATTTTTCCTTATCCTGACTCATGCTCTTTTGCTTGTAGAATCCTACGGATTGGAGGTGGGAATATATAATACTTTGGATTTTAATAATTAGTGATTTGAACTGTGATGATTGTAATAACCCTATGGGAACTTCATAAAGGCACTGAACTGATGAATTCCTGCTGCTAACTTATCAGCTGCCATATAAAGGTTATTACAATGTACTTATTATGATAAAGTATATATAACATTAATACAATGCTTAAGACTAATAGACTTAAGCTTGTTAATATCTTAGGATAAACTCCTTAGAGTTTGTTAGCTAAATTACTTTAAAATATAAACATAGTACTAAGCTTAAAGATATGATTAAACTTAAGCTAATTATATAATAGCAAAACTCTTTTAGAGTTTGTTAGTTAATGTACTTATATGATATAGACATAGTGCTGAGCTTAAGATATGAATAAGCTTTAGCTACCTATATAATAGTAAAACTCTGTAGAGTTTGTTAGCTAATATATTTTACAATATGAGTATAGTACTGTGCTTAAGATATAATTAACTTAAGCTACATATATAATAGCCAAAACTCTGTAGAGTTTATTAGCTTATAGATTAATAATGTAACCATAGTACTAAGCTTAAGATAAGATTAGACTTAAGCTAAATGTATATAGCAAAAAAAAAACTCCTTAGAGTTTATTAACTAATATACTTTTATGTTATAACCATAGTACTGAGCTTAAGATATAATTAAACTTAAGCTATATATATAATAGCAAAACTCCGTGAGAGTTTTGTTAGCTAATACATTTTATAATGTAACCATACTGCTTAAGATATGATGAAACTTAAGCTAATTGTATAATAGCAAAAACCCTTTAGAGTTTGTTAGCTAAAATACTTATATGATATAAACCTAGTATTGAGTTTATGAAGGAAACCTTAAGCTTCATATATAATAGCAAAAACTCCGTAGAGTTTGTTAGCTAATATACTTATATGATATAAACATAGTATTGAGCTTTGAAGGAAACCTTAAGCTACATATATAATAGCAAAAACTCCGTAGAGTTTGTTAGCTAATATACTTATATGATATAAACATAGTATTGAGCTTAAGATTTGAAGGAAAACTTAAGCTACATATATAATAGCAAAAACTCCGTAGAGTTTGTTAGCTAATACAAGTTATAATGTAACCATAAAGCTTAAATTATGATGAAACTTAAGCCAAATATATAATAGCAAAAAACTCTTTTAGAGTTTTGATAGCTAATATACCTATATGATATAAACATAGTACTGCGCTTAAGATATGAATAAGCTTAAGTTACATATATAATAGCAAAAAAACTCCGTAGAGTTTGTTAGCTAATACATGTTATAATGTAACCATATTGCTTAAGATATGATGAGACTTAAGCCAAATAGCAAAAACTCTTTAGAGTTTGTTAGCTAATATACTTATATGATATAAACATAGTACTGAGCTTAAGATATGAATAAGCTTAAGCTACCTATATAATAGCCCAAACTCTGTAGAGTTTGTTAGCTTATATATTTTTACAATCTGAGTATAGTACTATGCTTAAGATATAATTAAGTTAAGGTAAATATATAATAACCAACTCTGTAGAGTTGTTAACTTATATATTGTATAATGTAATAATCATAGTACTGTGATGATAAAAAGAACTTAAGCAAATTATATATAGCATGTAGCTATTTAGTACTGTTATAAGATAAGTAGAAATCTGTAAGATTGACTTATCTTCTCGAGGAACTGTCAACTGTTGTCTGAGGACCATGGGATTGAATTGGTGGATACCTGAGACGTCCTCGGTGATGATATCTCTCAGATAATGGTTGGCAACCACCATATCGGATCTCCAGAAAATAAACCCTCCATTATTTCAAATAACATTGTGTAGATTAATTGTAGAAGTTAGCGCTCTAATATCATGAGTATTAAAAGCTCATGGAGGGTCGGATTGGGTCCATCCGTCTTGTATGCACGTAGTATGACAGTTCTGATCCAAACGGAGATATAGTACGTTGAGATTTCATTCTCGCGTAAGTTGATGATAGAGGAAATAATCTGTTGCATTATTCCCTTCTGTTTGGTTCGGTGGAGATAAATTTACAGTGCTCTTGCTGGCCATCGTGATAGAATCATCGTATCATGAAGTCCAAGTATGTCATCCAGGCGTGTTCATAAACCTCACTTGTGAGGTGTTGGAGCACTATATTCAGATCCCCAAGTTGGAGGGTGAAACTTCCGTTTTAATTCTCCAATCAGAAAGTTTAAGTAGGTTTACTAACCATCTAGTTGTGTTAGTAGCTTGATTATGAAATTCAGCTGTAGTCTGAGACGCTGTGGATTTAGATCCACTTGTATCCCGTCGTCTAGGTTATTAAGCTCTGCGAAGTCCTTGACGATGTAGGTGCACAACCAGGTGTGTCTGTCCTCGTTGAACTTTATGTAAAATTGCCTGACTGCCGTGCCCTCGTCCTAACTTGACAGGGGAGGTCTCTAACCTGAAGAAAGCAGCCCAATCATGAAGGTTCAGATTAACTGGACTGTAAGGAGGCTTGCTCGTTCACTGATATATAGTTGTCACTTGTAGCGTAAGTCTTGAACTGTGAACTAAGATCGACCTCTCGTGGGTCGTTGTCCAACGCGGTCCAATCAGAACAAGGCATTTTGATTCTGTAGAATACCCGCGCTGTGATGTCACCGGTGTAGCAGGAAAAAACCTTGTATAAAATCTTGCCGTCGTTGATATTAGCATAATCATCGGTCTTCACCGTAGCTTCCCGCTACCCGAGTGACCACGTGTTTCGAGGGTTAAAGGTAAACGCCTTGAAACCTCGGTGAGAAATACCTCGCTCTGTAATATTAATGCTGGGTAGGTTATTTTCCTGGCTGTCGTGAAAGTAACTTCAGTTTTGAATATAATTCCGACTTCCTTATATAAAGGTACAATAAACTTGCAAGTTGTCAGCTTGTAGACTGTATACATGAATGTATCGTCAGAATTGTATAATTAAAGCTGAACTTGTTGTACATATTTCTTCTCAGAAACTTTGACGATTATGAGTTATACTCGTTGTAACAAGGCTGCTGTTCAATTTCGATATTGAATTGTCTGCAGATCTGCGTAATGGTCACGCATGTAGATAATCGTATCGTAGTCCGGGATTGCATATTCTAGCAATCTATACGGCAAGGTTGATTTCTGTGAAGATCTATGAAACGTCGTTGACTAATTAATATAGCGACGTTCTGTGTTGTAAATAGCCTGTGCAATTGTCTTCGCGTAGGCTTATAGACGGCATATGGCATACAGTTGATAGACAACTTATGCGATGTCTTGAACGGACTGACGAGTAGCTATATATGACGAGTGGCTAATATATGGAGACCTAGGAGGAGATTTCCTCGGTGGACGCCGGAGACTTCGCGAAGCTCTCGAAGTATCCATTCTAGATTTTCTGTGTGAGGTAGACTTGGAGCCACTTAGCCTTCGCGACCTTCGCGAAGGTATCGAGTCAGAGCCCGATCAGTATATATATAATATATGAGCGCTTGCTTCGCGAACGACCTCTGTGTTCAACAGGAGTGAGTGAGTGAGTGTTTTGTTTTACGCCGCACTCAGCAATATGTGGGGTCGGTGAAGCGCTACTCCTCCGTGACGTCCCTTGTAACTGG